TGTACGTAGCTGCCTAGCAACCGGTCAAATCACTAGATCACTATGTATTTGAATCACAAGAAACAGCAAGGTTTAATTGCTGCTCTTAAGTGTAGGTGGTGTCCGACCCAACCTGACAAATTGAGTCACAAGTAACCAGAACCACTTTGGAGTTGGTGGCCTTTAAAAGAATCTCACACAATGAAAATCGATGGGAACTCTTGAACACTTTTTACCCTAATAACATCCAGTTTTCTCCGGATGCCAAACGGAGTGATACATCACAACAAGGACAAGAACAAGCCAAACCGCGGAAAAACTGGCGTAAGACTCATTTTGTGGGATCCCGTCACATACATGTATTATGTTCTGTGTTAAGTCTCAGATGGCAATCCAAAAATCAAACAGAGCAAACACTATCATAGTTGACGTTGACTTGGTCATTTTGGTCATTATTTATGCAAGAGTAGGAAAGGCTCTATGCAAAAGTGGGAGTCCTTGATGAGAGAGCAATGAAACATAGAAACTGGGATGGCTTTTGAGCAACTAACCTTTGCAGTAAGAGAGTGCTGTCTGAGGGCTGGTTGCCCATGGCAGTGGTTCTCTGGGCCTCAATTAAGCACCGCCTCAGTTCAATCAATCAAGAGCCAGCTGAAGCCACCTTTTAATAAGTGGTCTCTTGATGGATTAGGGATATCGCGACGGGTGAGTGTGGAATTTGGACACTTTTATCTTGCAACCAATCCTGCAGAACTATCCGGTGCTACATTGTTTGAGCTCTGTCTTTTTAAATTTGTGAGTCCAACAAAAACCACAAATTCAGCATCCTTTCAAAAATTGACTGGACTGATCCTGTGCTGTGTTTAAGTCGGCGTAAAGTGGAAAAGCCAGACACTTGATTCCTTGTTTGTGCACTATACCGCGCATGCACGGTGTACATATCAAGTTGAGGACGAATGCAGCAGGCTGCAATAAGGAAACAGGGTTGAACCAAAGACTATATAGACAGATTTACTAGCAACGTGCTCTCACACGAGGCAGGCAGACGGTGGAGAGAGCATGGAAGAATCCGAAGGGGTCTATCTGTCGGCGTTCAGCATTGTCCTACACAGCTTAGTGTTCCTGATCGGATTCCCGGGAAATCTGCTGGTTTTATGCGTCTACTGGTCCAAGCCGGTTAAAACCAGCACTCATGTCCTGATCAACTCGCTTGCCGCCCTGGACCTTGCCACCTGCACGTCATCGGGCATTTTCCTGCTGTGGCTACTGAGAGTAATCCAGGGTGAATTGGCCAGTCACGTTTACTCTCTGTGTACCTTCTTCTTGCTGCTTTCATCAATGCTCATAACGACGGCTGTGGCCTTTGACCGGTTTGAAGCAATCTGCCGCCCCCACAGACGTTTCGTGACACCACGCAGGGCAAGAGCTCTGGTCTGCATCTGCATTGTGATCGCCATACTAATCGCCATCCCATCGTTTGTCCAATTCATGCTATTTTACAACCTCCGTTACGAGTGTACAATCAAGTCACTTCTTCTAATCTTCACGTCGTGCGCATTCTGTTTCGGATGCGTCATTGCAGTGGCGGCGCTCTACGTGAAAATTTACGTGACGGTGCACAAACGGGGAAAAGTTGGTGCGGCCAACGATCAGACGCAGCTCAGCATAGTAACCACAGAACTCAAAGCTTCTTGTAAAATGGCTGCCCCGAACGGTGCCGCAAAGACCAGTACTTTGACATCATCATTGCATCGCATTGGCAAAATGGATCATCCTGATGATCAACTCTCACAAGCTCAAAGCCAGTTAGACAGAGGCAAATCTACCAGTGATGCTGCAAACTCAGCATTATCCTTGAAGTCAGCTACAAGTACCGACTCCGAGCCTTTGAGTACAATGACAACAAGAGCAAAAGACACAACGAGACCAAGTCAAAACAACTCCAAAACAGATGCTCCATCCCTACATCAGATCAACAAATTCTGGGAGCAGGCTAGTACCTCTGTAAGAAATCCCATCAATGACAATCTGACACAATCCGAACAAGTAACGGTGGGCCCCAGACTGAAAACACTAACTCGCAAACCCCCCACAAGGACAGTCCAGCCCAAACTGAAAATGATGGCAATGTTGATCATCTCAACGGCAGTATTCTTTGCCACCTGGGTTCCGTTCGTCTGCATCACGACCTGGCTGGACATAGCTACTTGCTACTGGATGCCTTTTTCCCGTCATGCCATAATAGTTGAATGCGTGCTAGCACCTCTTGTACACCTGAACTGCATGGCCAACCCATTTATCTACAGCGTGGCCAATGTCAAATTCAGGAAGAGTTTGGCACTGGTAGTGCGTAAGGTCAGGGCTAAAGTGTGTCCTTGCTGTAACCACAACTACTAGACTAAGGAAAGTAGGGATACAAGGCAAAGGAAAGTCCGCACCACAGGAGACTTGCTACATGTACCAATGTTTTCCCTTTCTAAATGGCATGCCCATATACGGGGAGTGAAAAGCAAGGATATCGACTATTCCATGGAAACGTAAGTCTGCAGGTCATGGGTCACATCAAATTGACACTGACTGGACTTTTTTGTTTCTTGAGACCTTTTAATGATGGTAAATGTGTAAGTTCATTTTTCTACTTCTTGCAAATCTGATTCCGAGTGCGTTTTCAAGATAACAAAAACATAGTCGAAGCATAAAAGGGCTCTGCTGGTAGTCGACGCCTTGCCGGTTTGTCCGTAGTTTGATTAGACAAGTTAATTACCGATTTCTAGCATGAATGAAACAATAAAACCAGTGGTAAGCTGTGGCAATGTACCAGTATATTGCTGTGGTTACCAGGGAAAAATCAATACCATCCAATTCACTCCTTACGCCTGAGTAATAAATGATTACAATGTTAAAAGCTGAAGTACCCTGTGCAGGAAAAAACTGTTTCCAACAAATCGGCTTCAATCAACTTTCAGAAAGAAAAGTAACTTTTAAGTTCCTTGCTTGGTATTATACATCCCGACTTTGTATTATTTGAATTCAGTTCTGGTTCTGATATGCCCCACTTAATCAATGAGTATTGGGTCTGCCCTTTCTATGTTACAGACACATTTTGCCTTTCAGTGACTGGCAAAACTATGGCTAGTGATCAATACAAAAGAAAAGAATTCACTGAGTGTTAAAAACACTCAACCAGCTGTCAAAGTACCAAATAATAAACCCTACGATACAACCTGATACTCCAGGTGGATGGGAACGCAACCCCTTCAAACAGTTAACAGGGCCAATGTACATTTGGAGGTGAAATTCAACACCACCGTGGGGTGACGAGCAGTCTGCAAATACATGTAGTTGTTTGACCAAGTCCTGGGCCCAAAACATTTCTCCCAACCATGCCAAACCACCATACTCAGACTACTTTCAAACATGAGAGTACAATGGCAACTGCTTTTTACTGTACCTTGTTGACACACGCTTTTAGTGCCAGCTTTTTGTCCACGTATGATTCAAACAAAGCAGGCCATTAGTTTGTCACTCGAGCAAACTTGTTTACTGTTCTCCCTTTTGCTTGGTCAGTCTAGCCTCTGATCCATCAGGTTTTTTTTTTTTGAAAAGTCAACTTTCGGGGTTTGCTTATGACATTTACGCTGATTATTTGAAGAACTCTACCCCCAAAAAGATGTCATCTGTAAAGACTGTCTCCAACATGCGAAGCTAAAGTTCGGAAGAGAGAACTTTCTTTCCTATCTGCAAACTGATGTTTCCAGATCATGGAATAGCCTTTGGGACGTGCTCGAGTGATATCTATATGTAGGTCGTTAAGTGAAAAGGGCCGTCTGTTACAAAGCGTATGGGGAAGTGCCTGGTCATAATGACTTACTGTAGACGACACGAAAAAACCAGTATAATGATAAAGTGGGCTATTGCCATTATTAATCTCAGTCCACTTCACCAACCAACCCACGTCCTGGATCAGTTGAACAAAGAATATGCAAGAAGCAAATTAATGAGCTTTGGTTAAAAAAGTTTGCCTCTTATTATAATTTCCACCCTTCAAGGATGTCATCTCTTCATTCTTTCGCGTCTTAATTTATTTTTGGGGTGTCAGAGCAGGGAAGAGGGTTCAACTCCCAAAATTACCCCTCTGGATTCACGCTTTTCCATCTTAATTATCATGGATGTCACTTGTAATTATACGCAAATTTTTTGGGACAACTGTCAATTACAGCACCCTTTCTTCCTGCGTTCTGCTTCCTACATTAGACGTGCTTAATGGAAACTTATCACGGCAAGCTTTCACGTCAAATTCTGACAGCGGCAACGGGACATACAGCCTCTTCAAAGCTATACAAATTCACTCTCAACTTATTTCATCATTTATAATTGCCTGGGACATGCAATAGTGTAGGCCTACTTGGTAACACAATGTTGGACTGTAACTGCATAAATGTTTTCCTTATACTTGGTTGAAATAAGTCAATACATGTCAAATGAAGAATTTGGTTCTTTGAAGAATTTTGGTTCTCTGAAGAATTTTGGTTCTTTGAAGAATTTTGGGTCTTTGAAGAATTTTGGTTCAACACTAGCTGTTCAGAAAAGTATCTTTTTAACGGTTGTTACAAATTATCATTTGAATCAACTGTATTTGCCAACTTGTCTGAATAAATGTATGTGTTTAAGTGTAGGTACATTTTCAAAAACTGATTTTCAGAAATTTTGAAATTCTTTTTCCCTAGGAAACTCCTTCAAAAATGTGAAAATATAAATCTCTGTTTCCGACTTAATTACATTGAGAGAAAACAATATTTTGGGAAGTTGACATTGAGAACAAACACACATGTACGAGTTACTTAACTATAATTCATCGCAGACTAACTAAAAAAGCAATGCAGGAAAAACACAAGAAATGACTCATCATGTACAAAATCTGGTAACAAATGTTTGGGTCCCATGAGATTTAGGACAAAATATACAAATGCAAATGATTGTAGGATCATCTCGAGCAGAGATTCATGAATGTTGGCACTCACCTGTAGCAATGTCCTGGCTCGGTTCGTCCGGCCCGTCCAGCTCGCTGATTGGCCGAAGCTTTGGACGTCCAAGTGATCTTGAAGGATGAGACACCCGTGACTTTGTCGTAGTACCTTTTCTTGACCTGCAATTGTGAACAGGCCATGAGGAAATATGAGGAACCCAGAAGAACCAAGAGGGATTGCATAAAACCACAACAAATGAAAAGGAACTTGAGGAATCCTGAGGAATAGGGCTGAGTCAAGTCGAATTATTCACTATTTGACCTTCAATTTGATCAAATATCCGAATATTCGGTCGTCCGACAGGCAGATTGTTGATGAACAAACCGTATACAAAGTCAGTTGCAATAATCCACACAATTGTACATTATGATCAATATAATAGCTTTTCACATCTAGGAGTATCTCCAGCCATTATTTAGCAAGATTTAGGCGATGAACAAGACTTCTTGCCCCATTGAAAATTTCTAGTCCTTTTAAATTGTTTAATGAATAATTTAGTAAGATTTCTGTCACTTTTCATTTGAACCTGCTTGAAACAAGCCTGCATATGCAATTTTTCTCATTTAAAAACAAAAGAAAATTTTCCTTTCTTTTCATGAATTTTACATTCGAATATTCAAATTTGAAAAATAATATTCAAATATTCAATAATCAATCAAATATTTGGTATTTCTGATATCCGACACATCCCCATTGAGGAACCAAGATGAATCACAAAGAACAGCACCAATAGGAACCTTACAGAACCACAAGGAACCAAGATTTACCAATAAAAGTGTCAAGTAACTAACAGGAACTAAATGAGTCACAAAGAATTACAACAATCAAAAAGGAATCCCAAGGAACCACAAAGAATTGAGACTGATCAAAAAAACTGTGTCAATTTGGAACTTCGAAGAACTATGAAACAAGAGGAACCAACATTGATCACAAAGACGGACAACAAATCAAAAAGAACCCTGAGGAACTACAAGGAACCAAGAAGGGTAAACCGAAAGGAATCGAGATAAAAGACCAAAAATGCCACTATTAAAGCAAGAGGCACCACTAGGAACAAAATGTGGAACAAAGGCAGAGGAGCCCAGTTAACTCAAGAACCTTACCCTGCCCGTGTCAACGACATACTTGATACCAGGGATCGTCAGGGAGGTCTCAGCAACGTTTGTAGCCACGACACAGAGACGGGCATCTTCTGGTGGGGCTTGGAAGACCTTAGCCTGTTGATGGGGTGCGAGAAGCGAGTACATGGGCAGGACATACAGAGGAACCCCATCCAAGGCTAGATCCTCCTCGGGTAGCTATGAACAAAAAATACAATGCCATGATGCACGCTTGCTGAAATGCAGCTGGCAAATTTATGACAAGATTTTTTGGAATTGAAAAATACCATGTCATTTTGACAGTATGGCTTCAGTTTGAAATTGATCAAACCTACCATATCATCCTCGGATTCAGGCTCTGCAACCTGGAACTCCGACTCAGAGTGGTTGCCCTCTTCATCTTTCAGTTCGTCAACTTCTTCCTCCTCATACGGCTGAACGGAGTAGCTGTGGGCAGACAGAGCATATTTCAAACTTCAATTGAATCGCCTTGTGTAAGCTAACAAAGACCATTCCAAAAGCAAACACTGTCCAGCAACCCAAGTCCCATGTACAGCAATAGCTCCCAGGCAACATATCCCACTTTGAACCAACAACCAACCAAGGTCAATTTTGGTGCATATTGAAGGGTTGAGACACTAAAATTTGACCTTATATTTATCAGTCAGCCATACTACATTGAAAGCCACGAAAAAAAATTTGGGGTGGAGCCTAAGAATTAAAATAAATGCAATGAAACAAAACTTGTAACCAATTCATGTCATTTATGCTGATTAATAATGAAAACTTTGTGAATAATTACATTTACATGTTTTAAGTCTCCATTAAAAAAAAACAATATGCAAGTAAGGCATGGATTCCAAAATTGTTTGGCACCACCAAATTAACAGATTATAATGAACACGATAGATTCTTGGTACACAATCCAAAATGGCTTCCCTGTTACAAAACTACTCATATTTTGCTCTCACTGATGTCAAGTAAATTTCACAATTGCTCCAAACCTTTTCCGAGCTCAGATCCACTTTACAGGAAAATAGGGAACCCAAGTGAAACTTCAATATCAAAAAAGCTCGGTCCTTCAACCTCTATCTCCTTGTTAATAATAACTGAATTCCTAACCACAAATTTTCAACTCTCATCTTGGTTTCAGATGAATAACATGAGATTATCTGAATTGGTTTCCCTTCATTAACCCTCCTTTGGTTTTACAGCACAAATATGCACAAGTGCCCCAGGTCACTCTCTTGCATGTTGGTGCAGTGCACAACACAACTGTGCTTCTTTGAGGTGTTTACCAAGTGACCCAAAGAGTAACTTCAGCATAGAAGGGTTAAGTTATTGAAGCAAAAGTCATGCACTACAAAACATAAAAGCAGGGGACCAGTTTTGGGCAATATGCCATGAATGACTCATTGGCCGGTAACTTCTATTTGCTAAAAAATGGGCATCGGAAATCGTCGTTCTTGGAACTAGCCATATGCACACAATTATATCATGATAACATCGATCAAGGTTGACACGTACCATCCCTCATATAGATGCTTCTAATTACTTGGAGTCAATGATTTACAACTCAATTGATGGGGGAGAATTTTCCAGACTTGAATGAGTTCCCTCCTAGCCTGATTATCATACTTATCCAGACTGATCTTGGGCAGTTTCTGCTTCCTGAAGGCCTTCATCGATTCTTCATCTTCTTTCACATTCTCTGCCTCCTCCTCATCAGACACGCCCTCTCCACCTCTCTCTCTCTTCCTAGAGGTCTCTGTTCCTAGAAACACACCCACAACAAATTCCAAGCATCACATCATGTAGAAAGTAATCATTTTAATCTTAGTAGTTCTTAATGGGTGAAGGATAACTCACTGTAGAGTTTTTATGTCACAACTGTTTACAAGATGCAAACCGCCGCATCTCTGCTTACAGAGGGTGTCAAATCTCTAATCTTCTTTCAATATTTCTTCGTGCGTTTATTAATACAGAATGATGCACTCTTTCAGCAAAGTGCCTGTCTGTACCTGCATAAGTACGGCAGAGCCCCTACTCAAAAATAAAATGACATGTAACACATGAGCTCATGGGGTATCAGGTCGAAGGTCACTATGGCCCACACACAAAGGCCTGTGCAGTTTCTTAATATACATGTAGGTTATAACTTGCTGAATGCTTAGCAGAAGAGACTGTGCTTAGCACAGCAAGCAAACAGTGCCCGCACGGAGATGCATAATGTGTGAATATTTCCAATCAGCATGTCACATAAACAAACGTGCTCTTTGTTTCTAACCAATAGACAAAGGTTCTGATAAATGAAAGCTGTGAGCTAGCAGGGAATCAAAATCATTCATGGTTTAAACATAACCTGGTTAAAAGATAACAATTTTTTCTGTTGCTAAGCAAAACAAATTAACATGTAAATTTGTACATAACTCAAACTGCCTACCAGGATTTTTTTCATGAACAAATGATTTGGCAAGGATTTTTCTGGTCTACATACCATGGAGGCTGGCTGCCTTGATCTTTTTGTTTCTCGCTCTCAGTTTGCGACACAAGGAGCTGACCTCATTTTGACCCGTCACAAAGACCAAGATGCCGCCGGGTGGTAGCGTGCGATGAATCTTCAACACCTGCATATCGATTATTGATTCAATATCAGTATCTAGTCACTGATGCTTGTTGGTGAGACATTTGCAGACAAACAAAATAGAACCAAAGGCATGAGCCCCGGAACCAGCGTGTGAACCAACATGCACGTGTACTCCGATCGTGTGCACTAGACTTTCTGACAGAGTTTTTCAACAAACTTTGACAAAATTCGATACCTTCTCATACAAGAGAGAAGTAAGGAAATGGAAGTGGGTTTACCTTTCTTTCTGCCTCTGCCATGTAGTTTTCTACGGGCGTTCGCTTGTTGAAGTGAACGGTGACAGGAAACTGTCTGGACTCAACCTGCACTCAGCCATGATCACAATGGAAAACCACATACAAGGTCAAAGTTCAAAGGTCAATAATAAAGACTGCAGAGCATTTAAACAAACTACACTTCAATTTGGAGTTTATCGTCAGCAAGATTGTATTGTCTAAAATATTTAAATACTGCAGAGTGCAGCTTTGATGGAGAGAGAATTCAACTTCCTACTGAGCTTCAAAACAACAAACGGCAAGACTATTTGTTACTTGGGAAAAAATTCAACACTGTACTAAAATAATGGCATACTTTCTGTGCTTTAACTTTGTACACCAAGCCCACTTGAACAATGGCTGGTCTGCAGGGTCTTATATCCATCAAATTCCTACATAACCTCAAGATGAATTTCAAGGGATTTACTATCATTAGGCTTCAGTAATGTGCAGTCCAGCATATGGCTACCTGAAATCAATCTGTTATGTGAATATACAATAACATAAAGCCGATCATAACAGAATCATCAGACCTTGATGACTGGTGGAGTGGTTTTGAAGAGCCGTTGATTTTCGGTAAAATCCTCCACTCTCAATGTAGCTGACATGATGATCAACTTCATCTTACTTCCTTTCTGTAAAGGAGAAAAAGAGCTTTTTTCCCGGGTCTCCACAAAGGGGTTACACATTAAAAAAACATTATTCAAAGTAGATCATGTGAAATCAAACATATTACACATCAAATCTAGTTGCCAATTCAAATGCAGCACATGCATTACCTGTGAAAAACTGACCCTCTGGTGTTTTGCACTCTGCATGTATAGCGCCCTCAACAGACAATGCCCAAAGCTTATATATGAGCGGTCAAGTAGTCAATGCTCCTTGGGGCCTAGAAATGCCCATTTCTACCCCTTTTGTAATTTGAATTGTCAAACTGTGTGGCTGCGTGATCTTGATATTCTGAGTGCCAACACTCTCATCCACCACTCAACTCAAGTCTGGTATGAGAGGTCAAATCGAATTAATGGCCTACACTTTGACCTTTGAACTGACCTTGTTTCTGAGAGGCACTATCCTGGACAGTAAGCCAATCAGGATGTCCGTGTAGACACTGCGTTCATGAGCCTCATCAATAACAATCACAGAGTACTTGGTCAGCAAGAAATCCTGTTTTGAGCAATAAATTCAGATAAAATAATCACGTGTTTAAAATGGATATCTGTGATACAAGCGCTAATGATTAAAACTCAATACTTAATTGCTCAACATTATCTCTGGAACTGTTTACTTTTTTCGAAATACCTTCTGGATCTCCTTGAGTAGCACACCATCGGTCATGAATTTGATCTTGGTATCCGTTGTCACGTTGCCTTGATAACGGATCATGTACGACACCACACTGCCAAAAAAATAGCAAGTACATGTACAGCGTAAAGAGTCACATTCATTTTTCTTAAGAAGAATAGCTTATTATCCAAATATGAAGTTTCAAGGTTTTTTCAATATTTATCTTACCTTGTGGAAAGGCCCATTTCCATGGCAACTCGCTCTGACATAGTAATAGCGGCAACTCGTCTGGGTTCTGTAATTCCTATCAGACCATTTCTGTAATTGGTTTGACAATTATTTAAAAATTTACCGTTACAGGAAACATCATTTGGAGTATTGTTTGGAAATGAAAATGTGCAACATTACATGGTTGGAATCGACTGGGGACCCAATCTCAGTGAGCATGGCCTGGTATCAAAGAAAGCCTCAGCTTCATAAATTTCATTGGCTTCCATTACTTCCTTTCCAAAATGCTGATCAGCTGGTGTACAGTACATCGTTGATTAAATTAAGTCTGCCCTGGGTCAAAGTTCACGGAGGCAAATGCCTTCACCGGATTGGTCTGTGGTGACCACTACAGAGATACCTCATCATAAATATAACTCAAACCCAACATTAATCCAACTCACTGTGCGTAGCCTGCTTCATAGAGGAACTGCGGGACCTGCGTGGTTTTGCCGCTGCCCGTCTCTCCACACAGGATGACGACTTGGTGTTCGTTGATTGCTTCCATGATGACCTGCTCCTCGGCTAGGATAGGAAGAGCCAGCCTGGCAGCCTGGAAATGATGAGACGGATAGAGTTAATGGCATTGAGGACAATTGTTTACTTTAGCAAAGTGTATCACAGTAAACTCCTAGGTACATGTACACACTGCAGGGATAGGAAGGTTGATCTCCAAACCTGAACTGAAATGTTGAACATGTTTGTTACTCTAGAACCTTCCAAAATCCTCCAAGTCCCCCACTATCCAAGAAGCACAGTGGCTGGGCTCTAACTTCCTCAATCCCACAAAACCCAACAAAACCTACTTAAAGGTGGACATTTTCTAAGGATTTGGAAAGGTTCAGATTAAATGTTTGATGTTCCCTTCCATATGCAAACTCGTAGGTTGCTTACTTGAATCTCCGGCTTCCTGTCAACGTAAACAAACACAGCCGGAGTCCTGTTTTCAGGAGCTCTTGTCTTCCCGCTCTTGTCCTTCTCGGATGTCTTCTTGGACACCTCCTCATCTTTCTTGCTCATCTCGGCTGATGAAGATAAGGATGGTGAACCTTCAGTAACAAGTTCAGTCACTGGAGCATCTACATCTTTGTCTTCTCTTGAGTCCGTTTCCTTTGCATCATCTTCAGTCTTGCCCTGCTGTTTGGAGTCATCATTTTCATGGCCGTCACCGTCAACCTCATCTGATTCATCATCGCTTGATTCCAATTCACTCTCCATCTCCTTTTCTGCCTCTTCGAGTTTTCTTCTCTTCCGCCTGTTGACTCCTTTGAGGCTGTTGATGGGGATGCATTCTGGCATTTTTTCAGCCAACTGCCTGAAGCAGGTGTAGGGACAACAGAGAATGCGAAAGAGGTCAGAGGCATTTTTGGTCAAGCCAGAACAGAGGTTAGAAAGTGTTGAGGTAGTTGAGGTTTGGTAAGAACGGTTCGGTGTGGTCTGGTTTGGCATGGCTAGGCTGAGTGTGGTTGGGCTGGGTATGGTTGGGCTAGGTGTGGTTGGGATGGGTGTACATGTAGTTGGGCTGGGTGCAGTTGGGATGGCTATGGTTGGGCTGGGAGTGGTTGGGATGGGGGGTTAGCAGTCGGGTCATGACTATGGCGCTGTATTAGGTTGAGGTAAGGGTTGAAATGGGTTGGTAGGGTTGAGATGGTAGGGAACCTTCTGGAATGAGGAAAGACTAGATTAGCTTAAGAGAGCTGTAAAAGTAGGTAACCAACTAAAAATTAACAAACTTTAGAATTGACACAGGCAAACACAGCTAATGTGAGGTGTACAATGGAAAATGTATGAAAAGATTTAATACCTTTTTGTTGCTTTTTGTCCAAGATGTGCTGCAGAAGCAAACATAGACATCTCCTGCTTTGATGCTTGATGCTGGACCAGTGAAGCTAAAATATCTTCTCTCTGAAAACAGCCAAGGAAGAAAATTGGAGAGCATTTTCTGCCTTTGTTTACGGGTCATGCTATTTAGCGTCAACAAGCATCAACAAAGTGTCAACAAAATATTCAAGCATTTAGGGCTGTGCCAAATATCCGGATATTCGATCGAGTATTGAATATTTGAATATTATTTTCCGAATTCGAATATTGGAGTGCAAAATTCATGAAAACAAAGTTTTCCTTTTGTTTTAAATGAGAAAAATTGTAATGAGGAGGCTTGTTTCAAGCAGACTCAAATGAAAAGTGATAGAAATCTTACAATTCAAAAATTAATTTGTTCATTACAAAATTTTAAAGGACAAGAAGTACTGTATTATTTGTCTCTAAATCTTGCTAAATCGTGGCTGAAGATACTCCCCAACGTGAGAAGCTATGTGTATTGCAGTGATTAAAATGTACAATTTTGTGCATCATTGCAACTGATTTTGTATGTGGATAGTTCTTCAACAATCGGCCTGTTGGTACGACCGAATATTCGGATATTCGACTGAAGTGAAGGTCGAATATTCAAATAGTGAATTATTCAAATTGACTCAGTCCTACAAGCATTTTTATGCAAATATTTTATAATTTACAATATCAGTAAGGCTCCTAAATATCACATTCGATGTATCACGTTATCAAAAATGTTAGAGTATGCAAATTTGAGCGACAAATTCGGGCGTGCTCATGCAGCCTGACCAGCTGCTATCTTGTTTTTGCATGGATGGTACAGTGAAGAAAGATGGTGACCTCCATACAACGCGAAAAAGTTTTGTTTTTCTGTGTGAATCTAAAAGCAAATTTGATGCTTCTCTTACATGCATGTAGTGGCAGGTCTTAGAGTCTGTAAAATATGATAAAAATCACTTTTAAATCTGTAGAGGGTATTTTCAAGTTGTTGATGCTTTGTTGACACTACTTATGTGTACTGACGCTTGTTGACGCTAAATAGCATGACCGTTGTTTACTGGCGTGGATACATGTGAATGTACCTGCATCTTGGCACCAGAAAGGAATACCGTAACATTTCACCTCTAGAAATACAGGGTGGGTCATAATGCTGCATTCCCACAAGTTCTACAGAAACTAATACTATTAACTGCAGAAGAAGCATGCTAGTGCTTAGTCAATTTGAATAATTCACTGTTCAAATATTCGACCTTCAATTTGATCCAAATATTGGATGCGCCGACAGGTAGATTGTTGAACAAACGATACACAAAATCAGTTGCAACAACATACAACTCACATCTAAGAGTATCTCCAGCCACAATTTAGCAAGATTTAAGAGATGAACAAGACTTCTTGCCCTGTTGAAAATTTCTATTCCTTTTGAATACATGTATGTTACTTTTTTAAATCGTTGTAAGATTCCTGACATTTTTCATTTTTATCTGCTTGAAACAAGCCTCCATGGTGCAATTTTTCTCATTTAAAACAAAAGAAGATTTTCCCTTCCTTTTCAGTTTGGCATTCGAATATTCAAATTCAAAAAACAATATTCGAACATTCAGCAATCGACAAAAACGGAATCTTTGGTTATTCGGGTATTCGGCACAGCTCTAAAACATGCAAATATCTTTTCAATGCTTTTGTAGGAAACTCAAAAGCATTTAAAAAACCTCACTACAAAGTTGTAACACTGTAAGATACATATGCTGTATACAACTTTGGATATGTATTGACACACTTTGTAAGATAATTATTAAAATAAAATTCACACTTGGGTGTATCTTCTACCGCCCATAAAATCAAGCCTTTAAAAATATTAGTAAGGTCTGAAATATTTTGTCATGTGAAGTGCACGAATATATATCTTATAATTATAGGTTTAAATATAATCAATTAATGTGTTCAAACTTAATACATATGAATAGGAAAACTACAAATGGGAGGAACATTAATCAAAGTCTGAAATTTTGAAAAACAATACCTTGGATTTCTTTTCTTTTTTATCTAAGACTTTCTGCAGTCTCTTGCGTTGTTTGTTGCTCAGTTTCCTAGGTAACTTGGTCTGAGGTTCTTTCTTCTTGTTGTTGGCTTTTTTCTTTGAGGGCAGAACCAGTGCGTTGCTGTGCATCCAGTCGTTTTGTGTTTCCTCGACCAAGGCGTCTTGCGACTTCTTGTCGGCCGACGGCAAGTCCAGTTCAACGCAGGGGACATTGTGCGCTTTACGAATGTCCGCATCGTCAACAATTTGCCGGCCTCTCTTATTAAAATTCCGTTTTATTCGACCCATTTTTTGCATTAAATTGGAAATTTATACCCTAATAAAGAGCATTTTTTCATTATGACAACTTTCGCGATTCAGAAGATGAAGAAAAAACCGAACATTTGACGAGCGTTTTAGCATACTCTGCCGCACGTGTTTTAAAGGCCTGCAACACAAGCCCGCTTGTGAGAACCTTTGACCTGAGATAAAGTAGTTCACAGAATTCTTTAAAATTAATTGCATTAAAATGAATTCATTTCAAAAATCACATAAAAATGAATTTATAACGCCATGTTGAAATATTTTGGGAAATTTACGTTCAAATATTTGAGAAAAATTTCATTATGTTCAAAATTTATTATTTATCCGCGTGTTAAGAGTCCACTGTGTCAAACCAAAATGGCAGCGCCCATGGACGAAGACGATGTTGATATCATTGATGATCAGCATTTAAATGCCATGCTTGTTTTCCCTCAAGATGTCCAGCAAGCAATCGAGCAAGTGAGTGAAAGTCTTAAAATGTGTAGCCGCTCATCCTGATGTTTAATTTTGTTTTTTCATTCGTGGAAATGCAGAAAATCACAAGGCCTATAGCTGTGGTGGCGACGGACATTGATGGAGGGGCGGTACCTGATATAGAAAATAAAATGGGGGCAGTTATTTTTTTTCATTTATTTACTTGTACTTGACGTGTTTGGTATGCAATTCTTGACACGCATAGGTCATGTAGGCCTAAAGATTAAACGCACTGACTTGTACTTTGTAGTAACTGCAACTAGGAGTGTGGGAATTTTCGATCAGGAGGAGAATTCGACCAACTGCATTCAAAAACTTCACAGCTGGTAGAATTTCCAGCTTTTCTTCTATGGTCCAGTACCTTCACCTTTAGTACCCTATGTACAATTTACCTGGCCCTATGTTGACAAAACACAGCAGCCCAATTTACATTTAGGGGGCCTATGTAAGTTCAGGACGGAGATAAATGTTCAGCATGATCAAGAAAGGTATCAGGAAGAGTTCCATATACATGTACGGACCCTCGTAATCATTCCAGAAAAGTTCAATTTAGGAGGTGTCAAGTGGCATCCATGTAGGGAACGCTTTCCAAGAAAAGAAGAGGACTCTTTTAGTGAAAACTGAGAGGGACAGGATTGTTTGAGTTCCATTTACAGATGTCACTAATTTTTCCTTGCAGTGGTTTAGTAGCCATCAGAAAATGATAACATAAAAATTAAACTCTAACAGGGAAAATATTGAAGCATTTACTTAAAACACTTACATTTTTTCAGATCAGTTTCATAGGGTTTGTGCATAGGGTGTCAAGTGATTAAAAAACTCTGTCCAAGGATTAATTAACTTGTTGAAGTTTGTTAAAATGTTCAGCACTCTTGCTTTGTTTACAATCCGACATGTAGGTGCTGCCGTCCAACGACCCCTTAGACAAACCCGATTTCAATGCAGTGGAGTACATCAACAACCTGTTCCCAACCGAACAGTCCCTGGCTAATATTGATGATGTCATCAATAGGATGAGGCTGAAGATCCGTCGCCTTGATGACAACATCCGCAGCGTGGTACGAGGGCAGACAAATGCCGGCCAAGATGGGAGACAGGTGACCAGCAATAGTCAAATTAATCCTCCTGTGCAAACAGCCATTCTAGACAAAGTTGTCGTATCAATCAAAATCAGTCAGGTGACTTTGACAGTTTAGAGCCCCCTGCTGATATAAAGCAGAGTTGATTGGCTAGGACTGTTGATATGGACCTCTTTCCTAGAATGGACAAATAAAAAGGACCGGGATATTTCACATTCAGAATACACAGATGCTTACCAATATTAAGACAGAAAAGTTGTAAAAATCTCTGAACATAAAAACACCATCTAAATTTCTTTATTGTACCCGGTACAGTCATCTCACATTTAGGAAATCATTCGCATGAGCATAAGATGTTTGAGCAAATTATCTGCTTTCCTATTTTGAAGGGATGCTTAGTAACTACTGTGGGTGGTTTTTATCTCACAGGCCTTGTCAGAAGCACAGAAGGCCATCCAGGAGCTCTTCAAGAGGATTAAAGACATCAAAGAGAAAGCAGACAAGTCTGAGCAGATGGTAAGGACGGTCTCATTCCATCCTCAAATAGTCTGTCTGAATCAGTGCAGTGCAGAGACTGAACATTTCCTGATTGACATCTGACTAAAAAACCAAGGGAAGAACTTGCAACAAGCCTTCCCCCACCCAAGACTTTATCACTTCTGTTTCAAATAGGAAAAAATGCAAGCTGGGGCCATCTTTGTTGCTCTAAAATCCTTGACATTGGACACTAGGAACCTCCCTGAATCCTACAAAATCCTCCACTCTGCAGGAAACCTAATAGATACTTCTTTGTACTTCAACTTAAAAGAGCATCAAGCTGCATTTTAAGTACAGTGGTTGGGCTGTACATTCCTCATTCCTACAAAATCCTCTAACATCTCCTGCTGGATTTTGATGGATATGGGAATGTTGGGGTCGATAGCCCAGCAGCAGGTGCAGCAAAAAAAAAAAGTTTCTCAAAACCAAATGAACCAATTTCTTTAACTGGTCAATTCTTTTTTTCTACTTGGTAGGTCAAAGAGATAACGCGAGATATCAAGCAACTTGATCATGCTAAGAGACACCTGACCTCCTCCATTACCACACTCAACCACCTGCACATGCTGGTTGGCGGAGTGGACTCGCTGGAGTAAGTGACTTCACAGATTTACCTCAGCATCATTACATTACAGACATTATGCATTACACCCTTTTTAGAAGGCGTTATATACCATTTAGGAAACAACAAGTTAAAAGTGTCCATTCATCCCTCTTGCTGACATTTGATAAACTTTCAGGCTATTTACCATGATATTTTTTGTCAGGTCTTTAACAAGACGGAGGCAGTACGGGGAAGTGGCCAATCTCTTACAGGGAGTCATCAATGTCATGGAACACTTCCAGAAATACATGAGCATTCCGCAAATCAGACAACTCTCAGACAAGTAAGTCCCGATCTTCATTTGTTGAGGGTGCTAGGAAAAAAACAAATATACAGACATGTTTTACAAACAAAACTTCTACACGGATCTTTTCAATGAAACGACTAGAAATTCAAACGTGTTGTTTTTCCAGAGTTAAGAAGATCCAATCGGAGTTAGGAACCCAGATCCTCGCCGATTTTGAGGATGCTTTCACGACACAAGGAGGCAAGGTAAGATGAAAGCCACTGTTGATGTTTGTGTTATCAAATCACCAGAATTTCCACTCGAGATTTGTTTTCTTTCATATTTTTCTCTTTTCTTACAGTTACTAAGCAACCAATCACAACTTGCAGAAGCTTGCTTGGTTGTCAATGTGCTGGATCCTAAAATAAAGTGAGACATTTATACCATTCAGAGTTACGTTATTCCAGATATGGTCCATTTTTGTAAGTTCAGAACACATTTTCTAATTTCCAAGAGTGATGAATTAATGCAAAATACCTGCCAAACAAATAGTAGTAGTTTGAAATCAATTCCGGTGATATTTCCATATTTCCATGTCAAATAGCAAAGGTCAGAAGGACATGAAAATCTCATACTTTTGGACCCCAAATGTCTGGAATTACCCAGTTATTCATATGTAGCATAATCATGCACTGAGAGCCTGTACTATAAATCTCAACCACGACAAACATTTGAACCATACCACTGGACAACTCATTTTGTAGATCATTGCATGCAGACGACAGTGCATATTCTCAACCCATCATTTACCTTCTCAGGAGAGACCTCCTCAAGTTCTTTGTCAAGTTGCAACTCCAGGAGTACGTGGTACTGTTTGGGGAGAATCAGGACGTGGCCTGGCTGGACAAGATTGACCGCCGTTACGCCTGGCTCAAGAGGGCACTGGTGGAATGCGAGGAAAAGTTTGGCCGCATGTTCCCCAGGGATTGGGACATTGAGGAACGGATATGCGTCGAGTTTTGCAACATTACGAGGTAGAGTGCTTCTGTTGTAATAACAGAAAGTGGATATTTAAGAACCAAAGTTGTAACATCAGTTTAAAGAGATTTAAGCTCTTTTCCTTCTGGAAATACATAAGTAAAACTGTGAAGCTTTCGGGAAAAGAGACTGTCAGAAATGCCAATGTGTTCTGTTTGCTGATCAGGTCTGAACTGAGCAAGATCATGCAGAACCGCGCCTCAGAAATCGACGTGAAACTCCTTCTCTTTGCCATCAAGCGCACCACGACCTTTGAAACCTTGGTGGCCAAGCGGTACAGCGGGGCCACCTTACGACCCCCCGGAGGGGAGGAAGGGTTATCCGCCCAACCCCAGGCAAGAATTGACACGCCGGAGATGCCTGTCAACCCTTTTGAGACTGATGAGAGTGCCGAGCCACCAGTTGAGGTCAAGGTAAAGATTAAATATAGACCAATATCTAAATCTGTGTTCTTGAGCTAGACAATATCTTCTCGCCATATTGGAATCAAAGAGATTCTTATGAATACGGAGTAGGATTTGTGTTTGATTATTCTAGTTTGCTGAAGTTGCAGCTGAGATTGTTTCGAGTTGTGAATTCTAAAATGGAGGGAAAAATAAGCTTCATGAGCAGGGGTAACGATGTAGCCCCTTGAATTGAGTATCCTATTTTGTTAGTTTGTTTTTCTTGCTTATTTCTCACTGCTTAATGAATTTCCAGTTATTTTTTCCATTGCCATTTTCCATTCGGGCAGACTGTTCTCAAGCCCAAGCCCTCGCCATTCCAAGGAATAATCAGTCAGTGCTTTGAGCCTCATCTCCATATCTACATCGAGTCTCAAGACAGGTACAAAAAGTAACCTTCACCTTAACACCAAACTTAGAAGCCAAATTTCATTTTTCATTAAACAGCTACACATTCAAATGTAAACTACGGATTTGCAGCCTTGTTCTGGTCTTTAAAAGGGCCCTTTTAACCTTGTTAACCTTGTTACAAATGATATATTTAGCCCATGTAAACTCTTTGTCTTCTCATATTAAGAGATACTACAGTGTTCAGTTTTGGGATTCATCTTTTACAGAAACAGGAGGCTTTGAGACACTTGATAGTAGCAGACAAACTGGTCCTTTTCCAAAGTTATGAGCATGCTCAGAACTATGTGCGCCTGCTCAGAACTAGTTAAAGTACTAGTTTGTCTGCTGCCACCAAGCATCTCAAAGTCTCCAGGTGATATATTTAGTGTCAATCATGACGTCTTTAGGTGACAGTAAGAGGTAGTTTTTGGGTAATTTTTCTACCCTAGATATTTGTCAGAGCTGATCCAACAGTTTGTCTCCGACTTCCACTCCCACGGCCCACCCCGTATGGAATCAGACGAGAGCGGCGCCATCTTGCCGAGCAGCGCCGACCTCTTCGTGGCCTACAAAAACTGCATGGTGCAGTGCTCCAGTCTCAGCACCGGTACCCCGCTGCTCTCCCTGACGGCCACATTCCAGAAATACCTGCGAGAGTACGCAAACCGGTTACTGACCAACAACTTACCAAAGTGAGCGGATGGGAAGAGGAGGGGGCGGGGAAAATTAAATGAGGGGGGAGATTAACCAATCATCCTGTCAGTCCAGGCTGCAAGGCTGTCAATTTTTCTTAGGAGCCATCAGATACATTTTGCTAAATTGCAACCTGTCTGAAGTGAATTGAGTTCTTGGAGTTGGTTGTGTTTTGTCAGTGTAAAGCTGAATGACAAAGCATTTGTCAGATTGTGGCAAGAAAGTGATTGGATTTTTTTTATCACTAAGCTTAGGACAGTGAAAGTTATGAAATAGAAAGGTATGAAATAGAAATAGCGTACAGGGCCGATTGATCGGTCTTTAAGGCAGGTCAGTTTCAAATTCAGAAATCGATATTTTTTATGGTAGTATTTTTTCTTTTTCTGTGGTAATTTATGTTTCTAAATGCAAATTTTTTACCTCCTGATTGCTCCTCATCATCATAATTTCTCCTCATTACTGACATCTTTTCCCGCCATACTCCCGAAAAAATGTTCCAAAAAAAACGCAATCATTCATCGCCTTCCACGATACCCGCTATCACAAACCCAACACAATAGCCTTTTTGCCCGGCGCAGGTCTCAGTCGATGCAGGGGACCAGCACGTCGGGAGCCATGGGGATCAACATCTCGGCGTTGCTGAAGGAAGGACTAAAGGACAACACGCCCGAGGCACCCAAATTCACCAAGGAAGAGCAGTATTTGGTCTGTAGCATCCTGTGCACGGCAGAGTACTGTCTGGACACAACGTCACAGGTACATCAACATCTCTCATTCTAGTTTAGCTGGTGTTTAATACTTGGAGGCACCCACTCTTTTTGTCTCCGAGAAAGAGGTTGTCTCAAAAAATTGACACCCGCCACTTCACTCGATGTGTTTGCTCCATTCTGTTGATCCTAAATTTACCATTTTGAATAGCCGTTTGATCAAACTTGATTGTGACTTACCTTGTGTTAAAATGAATGGCATCATTTGTTATTATTTTTGTTTGGCCATTCATCACAAACGAGATAGACAAACCAAGCATGTCTACATGCACAAACATTACATACATGCAAACGCTTGTTAAACAAGTCATTCGATTTGTACATCTTCTGAGAACTTGTCAACATTTGCCGTAATAACCCTGTCTGTTTTTTAACAACTTACACTATACTTTTTTTCTGGAATGCAGTTGGAGGAAAAGTTGAAACAGAAAGTCGACCCGACGCTCATGGACAAGATTGACCTGAACGGGGAAATGGACGTTTTTCACGGGTAAGCTTGGCCCGTCACAGAGAGGTTGCACCATTGTTCAGGTCTGTGCTTTAATTATATAGAATATGCACAGGTCTACTCATGGGCATCACTGTAGAATAAAAGCACTGACTTGGAAGATGGCTACCACGTATAACCTCTTTGAGCCTCAGACTAGACCAAGAGAGGGCGCTGTTTCCTCAGCAACGGGTCTTCTTCGGTTACTAACTGTGCATCGCTGGCTCGTGAATGACTAGGAAATGGAAGTGTTGCAATTGCGTCACTTCAAACAAATTGCATACTCTCACCAACATGGCTGTGTTCGACCAATGAGGGCGTGCTTCTGCTCAAGGTGGATAGACACTTTGTATCCCAGCACTACTTATTTGACACTTTATTTTGCCAGCGCAATAAAATAACTTTATTTTCATTCCCAATAGTGTGATAGCTAACTGCATCCAACTTCTAGTGCAAGATTTGGAGTCGGCGTGTGATCCTGCCCTCACTGCCATGAACAAGGTAAGATCACCATTTACATGTAATCTAAACAACCTGTTCAAAAGACTGTATGAGGGCCATTGGCCATCCAGTGCATGATGGATTCAGGAGTTACACATGGCTCAGGATCTGATCAGGATATTTCCAGCTTCAGTGACTGTGACCGGATCTCACAAAATGAGATTTAAGACTATGATTTTGATCATTCTGATTTTGTATGTTCAAGAAAGAATCGATTTGAGTACTCTGTTTTCATGTTTGGCCCATTTGGCACCCTGATGAAAACGGACAATAGAGGCCTTGCGTGGTAGCCATCTTGCAGGGCACTTCTTTTGTTCCACAGGGAATCTTCCTTTGTGCATACCCCGTGAAACAAAAGCACTGGCCTGCAAAATGGCAGCCATGCAAACCCTCTATCTATGCGTGAAAACTTTTGAGGATTCAAAGGTTCTCTTAGAAGGTGTCTCGTTCCAAAATTTCTGTGGCGAGTTGCGACTCAATTGGTTCTGTTGGGTCACAATTCTGGCAAGATTACCTCTGTAACATTTGCTGTGTTACATCCTGTGAAAACTTGTCAACAATTTAGAGTTCTTGACCCGTTAACAAACAACTGTTGGACTAACCCATCATCTACCTCATTGAAAGGTTAACTGGGCGGCCATTGAGACGGTAGGAGATCAGAGCAGTTACGTGACGGCCATCACTGGTCACATCAAGCAGACGTTGCCGACCATCAGAGACAACTTGGCCTCGGCTAGGAAGTACTTCACCCAATTCTGCATCAAGTTTGCTAAGTCAGTGTTCAAATTGGGTCCTTTTGCTTTACTTAGCCAATCTGTACTTCAACTGTGTGTGTGCATGTCACGATTTTACCATTTTTCCTTTCATAGAAAGGAACATTCCAATTGCATCTGAAATCATGAAAAATACAAGTGAAATCTAAAGAAAGTGTTGGAAGTGAGTTGGCAAATTCCAGATTTGGCTTCCATCCTTCTGGTTGGATGAATATTTCTGAATACCGATTCCATTGTACCACAGTCCGACATGATAATCAACAGACAAAATTTAAAGTCTGTGATGGTCACTTTGGCTGCAGCTCTTTGGTCCGAATTCAGGCCATAAATTCTTTGCTGATCGTTTCTTTTGTAGCTCATTTATTCCTCGATTCGTCAGTCACATGTACAAGTGTAAGCCAATCAGCACCGTTGGGGCCGAGCAACTCTTGCTAGACACACACTCCCTGAAGACGGTTCTACTCGACCTGCCTTCCATCGGCTCCAAAGTCTCGAGGAAGGCTCCTGCCAGGTGAGTCAGGGCCCCAGACCATCAAATACATGGCAGCCATCTTGGTTTGCAAGACTAAGTCAATGAGACCCAGCATGAACCTGCTATACCAAATAGACTGGCACCCGAATTGCCATCAGCTGTAGACAATCTTCATTCTATTGGAGAACCTGTCAGTTCTTAGCAAATTTCAGACCAGATTTATGCCTTGTTTTCACACTGATCTACTTACCTTTTCCCAATCCAAAACAGCTACACAAAGATTGTCGTCAAGGGAATGACCAAGGCAGAAATGATACTGAAGGTAACTTTGTTCTCTGAGCCGCTTCATTTTTCACCAAATGAATGCAGAAGCTGAAAACAATAACTTCAGCTTTTTTCTTTCAATTTGAAGAGTGATCCACTGCATTGTGATAAAGTTGACAAGCTTCGTTGATCATCCAAAATCTGACAATGTTTTTTCTTTTTCCAGGTGGTTATGTCTCCAGCTGATCCACCCCAGTCCTTTGTTGATAACTACATCAAACTCATTGCTGACAGAGACACGGCAAACTTCCAGAAGGTTCTGGAGATGAAGGTATGTTAGGCCTTACACTCCACCAACTCGATTAATAAAGGTGCAGCGCTCAAAGGGAGGATTTAAGAGGTGCACGTTACAGTGTAGTGAGTAAAAATTGCTATTTAAGAATTGAGGTTGTCATGAATGCTGTTGGCCAACATAAAATGAGATGTTTAACTCATTTCACCACTCTGTTCATGAAGAAGCAAGACTGTCAAGGAGTCCTTTTTTAATGGTGCACACTGCACCATGTTCAAATGGACTCGCAAAAATACTCGTTTCTTCAGTGTAATGTGCGTGGATGTAAACAAGTCGCTCAGTTGTTGGCTTTTCTTTCCCCGTTTATTACTCAGAGTTTGAAGAGGAGCGATCAGAACACGATGCTGGAGCTGTTCCGCACCAGAGTGCCGAGGGGGGAAGGGCAGACCAACTCCCCCTCTGCCCACCAAGAGCAAGAGGGTAGCCGAATACGACGGCTGGAGAAACTCATCAAGAGAAGATAGGACTGACCAGGAGAGACACAGGCAAGAGGAACTGTGTGAGATAGACCTCAAGACCCTGGGGAAAGATTCCTCAGCATCTGCACGACCAGCCTGATGTCTATGCTAATATCTTTGTTTTTGTCAATTCATTCAAATCATTTTTTCTCAGTAAAATACATTGCAGAAACTTTGCCTGAAAACTGGGCGGTTACATACCTATGCTAAGCCAAAGACACGTAACCATTCAGTGCATAGTTTGAAAACAGTAACTCATCCATAGAAGTTTGTAGTTGGTTAGAAGGGATTGGGGCTCTCAGATAAATTTTTTTTTTCCTTGTTGGTACCACATTAGAGTGAATGAAGAACAATCTATTGTGATTGGTGGTTAACCACTTCCTGACAGGTGACCTGTTTTCGAGCACCTAGGCTTTAAACACAGCCAGGGAGCATGAAACCGGACAAAAGAGAGTTGGGCCTTGTAACAAAAGACCATGCTCGACAAAATAAAAAACCAGGCTGCTGGGAACTACCAACATTTTTTCACTCTCAATAGTAAAGATAATCCGCGGCCTTGTTTTAAAACTGTATACCACGGTTTGGGGCATTTAGAGCGAGCGGATTATCACCGGGGACAAAAGCTCTCCACAACCGCAGCGATGAGCCACACAGCACGCTGCACACTAACCTGGTCCCTATTGAATAGAGGTCAGCAGTTCACTGTTCCCGGTTTCAGGAACAAAAGAATCTTACATAACACCGCACAATCTGGGCTCTTTTTACAAGGCTGCAGGCCTGGCTGAAATATTCGGGCGTCATGGAAAGTCAGCTGTCAATTTAGAGTAGTGCCTAAAGATTACTGCCTGTGGGTATAAACGTCCATGAAATGAAATGATGAATTTTGAAAATGGAAAATGATAATTATTCTGGCCCAGCATCATCAACATTTATAATTAACCCGGCAGCAAGTGCAAGCTGGTAAAAATAGACAAGGTTGTAGTGGTGATAGAAGGGTCATGGTGGTGATAGAAGGTCACGGTGGTGATAGAAGGTCACGGTGGTGATAGAAGGTCACGGTGGTGAAAGGAAAGATTATTAAGTTTATGCTAATGTATTTGGTGAAGACATGAATAGTGTTCTGTGTACATAGTTCCAATCAATAAATTAATTTGTATGTCTAGCATTTATCAAATACATGTGCATGGTTGATAAACATCAATGTTTATACCAGGCAAGATATGGGACGGAGGGATACCCCCTTACCTGTCCAATCCCTATACACACTCTAACACATTCCCACTAGAAGTCTGTAAAGAATTCCTGAGATTCTGATCAAACAATGACCAACACAAAGGCAGGGGGTTCTCTCCATCCCATATCTTGCTTCAAATGTCAATGTTAATAGCTAGAAAATGAAATATGGTGCTCACCATTGTCTTGTCATACGTTGTGTTGGAATCGTGCAAATAAATCATACATTTCAGAGGACATTCTTTGGACGTTTGGCATTTTTTCACATACCTAAGATGCCCAATAACTCATTGCAAATTATTGTTGAAACATTTGGGCAGAAAGGTTCATGATTACAGAAATGACAAGGCATAATTCAGCAAATAACTTTCACAACATACTGAAACAATGCTAAGTTACACAGTGGCAATGAGTTGGAAAAAGTGCATGTTGATACGGGAGCCAAGCGTTCAATGAGACATTTGGTCGACAAAAGATAATGTTTATGTTATTGCAGACAATGTGGAAGCTTTTCAATGCTTTGCAATGCCGTACATGATTTTTTATTGCATTAAACAATCCATGATTGAAATTAATTTTAACATCAGACTGAAATGATACCATGTTCCAAGGTTTCAATCATCCACTTGTATGAATGGGCCAAAGTCAATGCTAAACTATATGCAGAGAGCATACCAAGTACTATCAAATGGTAACCAGTACTCCAGCATTGTAACTAAGTACTACAATTGGCCATGAAGTTCTATTGCATGGCAACTTAGTACTATAGCATGACCCCAATGTACTAGTGCATTGCAACAAAGTACTGTTGCATAGCCATGAAGTACTATTGTGTGGACGCCCAGTCTACATTAGAACTGAGAACTAAACTTGGCTCAGCCTTTCGAGCTCAAAAGTCTGACTCCCGCAAAGCAACAAACTCAATCATTACAGCAGGTTGCAGCAAAAAGCACAAGTTGGTTTCTCCATTGTGATGAGAAAATGTGGTTTTAACTTCATGTAGAAATTTTTATCTAAGCGCGGTCTCTTCAACTTTAGGAGAAACACAGATGATGCTGGCAAGAATGAACACTGATTAGCTTGGGGACGACAATTCTTAAGCTTCATGATGTGTCAAAGAAAAAGTCATTTAGAGCAAAATATGACAATAATAGTGTGGTTTATAAGGCCTTATATAAATACCCACCTACATGTACACAACAGTTTTTACACCTAAAGGAAATGCAAAACCACATAAGCAACAGTTAAGCAGTTTTACAGTGGAACATCATAATTACCGTATGATTTCGGCATTTAAAAAAAAAAATGAATAGTCACTAAAGTTGAATTAATAATAACAGATAAGTTAACATTGTTTCATATCATGTTTTGGTTTACCCAAAGGAACAGTTCCTTTTCCCACTGTTAAAACCTTTTCAAATAAAAATTCTTTAAAAATAAAAATCCCAGGGTGTAATAAAGGAATAAAGTTTCTTCCACTGTTTTACAACTAAACATACCTTTTTATGGCTTCGATTTCCGTTAACCTTGACTTTTTGCCAGCACTAACTAGCGATACGTGCATGCTTAGATATAATAAATATGTACACTTATCCACAACTTTACAACACATCTTTTTGTAGCTTGCTCGCAGAATAAAAGGCAAAGGTTCATGAATATTCAACAGGTTCATGAATGTTCAACAGGCCACATGAATATATATATGCATGCTTCTAAAATGCTGTGCATATACCTCGTTCAAAAGTGTGCTAATATCGTCATTTTTGGCATTAAAACTGTATACATTGCTTATATATCATTCAGTCACTTGTTACTCAAGAAAAAAACCAAACAATATGTGCACAGGACATTGAAGTCAAGAGCTTACAAGCACAATTGGGTGGCAATAGAAACATTCCTGTGACAAGTGGTGACAAAGCCCATATCCGTTTTCAATACCCACTCAGATTTCTGATGTCACGACAATTTGATAGACATTTTATTGCCGATAAAGTCTTTCCCAAACTGATTTTTTAAAAACCTACCGTGATGTAAAGACATTCATTATGTGTGCCTTTGTGAGTTTCCAATTCATTCTGACATACCATAGGGCATGTCAGCCTGGATGCAATGAACAAAAGTCCAAAAAAAGAAGACATATTTGGCCAACCAGTTGCGGAAACGCAACATTTCACCACAGTGGTACGTCCGATGTTCATAAAACTTTGTGTGAAAAGGATTTTACTGGTAAACTTCTCAAAGCTCTGTGCAAAAAAATAATGCAATGTGACACTCTTAGAGAAAACATTCAAAGTGTTTCCCCATATTAGGCTCTTTTAGGCTTTATTATGACTCCCAAAACACATGGAATACAGGGTCACACTATGTGTATTCAAAACTGCAAGGTACTGGAAAGAGGAAGTAAGATTGCAGACAAGCAAATTACAATATCGCCTGTAGAATTCCCTCTCCTTTCGAGAGAGCCTTTGCAGAGAAAATACAAAATTTGACAAGGACTTTTTACTGTGTTTTGTATTTTTTTTGTCACGGAAGAAATGACAGAGGAGAGGGAAATTCTACTCTTAGATGGCAAATCTCTTTTAAAGTAAAGGCTTATCAATCAATATTAGAACAGACACCACAAACTCGAAAATCCAGTGTTATCTGCTGCCCTCAATTGGGTCTGCACAGGGCTGATGCCAGGGTGGAAATTAATCTTTCAAGCAGTCTTCGGTCACCCCCTGGGCAGCTAGCTCGGACAGCACGTTGTCAAAGTAGTTGGGGTCCGGGTAGCCGTGGCCGGTCACGTTGGAGCCAAACTCCGTCTTGTGGTGGATCTCGTTCCAGACCACGGTGCAAGGCTCGCCTGTGGTGGCCGACGTGCCAATGGTGAAGAGAAGACGACGCTCCCAGGCAATAATAAGAAGCTTCAGGATCTGGAAGGTTGGAAGAGAACATCTGGGCTGAGAGAGGCTGTATCTGAAACGGTTGTCATGAGCTATTTCTAGGTCTTCACCAGTTGCAAACACATGATCACAACAGACATAACCGCAACTCTTGAAGGTCATACAGGAGACAACATTGATCAAGCAGGCTTATCAGAGACCTTACCATGTACATTGCAGGCATGGAACCTGATGTCCCAATTTTGTGTCAAAACCAAGCCCTAAAATGCTTTAGCTCAGTTTAAGAAGGTTGCAGTTGGTGTAAAGTAGGTTCAGGAAGGTTCTTAGCTAACCTAGCTCACAGTTAATGGACATTCAATTTATAATTACATCAATAAATACAAGGTGTACTATGAGCAAACCGTGTTATGTGAATATAACTTTTGGACAGGCTTTCACAGCTGTTACACCTATCTTTTGGAACTCACCTCACAAAACACGAACTCCTCTTATGAGGAAAGACTTAAAGAATACCCCACAATGCTCAGAGATAGAAGAAAGTGGTACTTTCATTTGATGGAATTTGATTTAGAAACAGCACAACCTGAATCCCACAAATTCTTGCAAAACTGGTAGCTGGATATTTGAGGATTTGGGTTGGCTTGGGATGATGGGAAACTGTACTTTTACCTTTCTTCCAATCTCATTGTCTGGGAGGTAGCAGTGCCTTGGGAACCCGCGGGCAGAGTACCGCTTACCAGGATGAGGATGTTCAGGTCCCTGCAAAATATGAACAAGAATTAAATGATAACGACCACTTCACATTTCTAAGCCAATCTGAATTGGACACGTATCTCAACACCATGCAACAATGATTAAAGGGAAATGTTTCTTAACCTGGAGCAAAAATGTAAACAAGACATTGTGAAGGAGACACTGGCCAAAAATTTCTTCAAATCTTGGTCAACAAACAATTTGCTTTACACTTCATTATTTGCATCTAAAGTGAATGTCTCCTGGGAGACAAAGGGGTCAGTTGTGCTTGAAACGAACAAAGAAGGCAATGGTTAAAATTGAAACGGAAAAGAATAAAATGGACAGTTCAAAAATTTAACTACTGATAACGTTAAAACTTCAGACTTTGGCTTGAAGTTCTTTAACTATCTAGAAATCAACTGAATTAATTTTGGATTTTTGCCATGCCCGACTTACATGTATAACACTGTTTACTCAGTGTTTGCCCCCAAAGGCTTGAAAAAAAAACCACAAGCATACTCGGATGGGACTCAAACCCACAACCTCCTGCTTACTAGTGCAGACTTTTAACCACTCAACTACCGAGCTTGCCAGTGTCGGCTGGGTGGTTCGAGTCAGATGTAGCAGCAGGTACCGCACGTGCTTGTGGTTTTTTGACAGTGAGTATACAGTGTTATAATATACGTCAGGGAGGGCAAAAATCCAAAATTAATTAAAATCCCCCTGCGCAAATCCATCCTTGGAAATCAGCTGAAGTGTAAAGGTTATTGTCGTGCAGCGCTCACAGACAGTAGAACCTTTTGACCTTGGATTCTATTAATGTATGTTAGCAGTATAGGCCTGCTGAACTTCGAGACTGCATGTCCTTTAGTTTCTTAACTACAGAAGTCTGCACAGGCATTGACAACATACATTTACATGTATCAAGCAATTAAGTGATGACTGGACAAGGTCAACAAACTACAACAAAATGGGACATATCCACAACGCCGCCATATTTGCGAATAATGATCTGCAGAGATGAAATTTCAGCACCAAGAAGGTGCTATCTGATGGTATTTGGTGCCATCAGGAGTTAGCCAACCTCATGAAGAAAACTTTCAAGGTTAGTATCAACAGAATAATGCCTAACAGTTTTTGAAAACCTACAAAAAACATTCAGAAGCTCAATATGTATCTTACGTAAGTCACTTTGCAAAAGCTAAGTATGTATATCAGATGTTTGGGTGGTTGTCAGTAATGGCTGAGGACACAACAACACCTGACCAAATCACGCAAACTTTCAGTCATCTCTCTCTCTACTGAATGGAAGAATTATTCTCTCACACTTAATACCATAAGAACACCATAAGAATTTTATTTTCCATGACAAAATGAAAGGCTATAACCATTAGCTACAGGGACATTTTGTGCTGAGCAGAACAACAATGGAAAATCAGGATACAGTCTAAGATCCACTGGGAAGAAGGTGACGTGGCATCAACTGAACTTGATTGAAGCTTTTGGACTTTGGAATGATGAAGAATGGTTGTGAAGTCAGGTCAACTGAGAACAAGAAAAAAATGATGCTGAAAAAAATTCAAAGTAGATTACAATGGGCATTCGGAGAACAACTTTTTCCATCAAGGGTAAATTAAAGTAGTTTTATCTCCAACTTCAGAGCAGAGAATATTCTTACAACAAAAAAATCCTGTTCTATTTCTTTCAGTCTATTCTAAAGGTACAAAAGTCAACACGTTTCACATCCAATAAAACCATGGCAACTGGTGGTGTAGCTGATGGTCTGGGGAAAATTAAGCGTCATCTAGAATGCTCCATCTGCTTCAACCGTTTTACTGAGCCAAAAGTGCTGGATTGCTTACATAGTTTTTGCTTGAATTGTCTCAAACATCTCAGAGAAAGCAAAGGTATGACAGCAGTGAGAATCAAGTGTCCCCTGTGCAGATGTTACACTGAACTGGAAAAAAATCAGGTTGAACATCTGCCAACTAACTTCACACTCAGTGCCCTGGTGGAGGAGTTTGCTATACACGAACAGCTTCTAAAAGGTCAAGGGTCAGAGATCAAATGTCAAAGCTGTAGTAAGAAAAATCAAGCAACTTCATTTTGCCAGGATTGTGTTCAGTTTCTTTGCAATGATTGCCAGGAAGTACATGAACACCTAGCAGGGACAAAATCTCACAACACCTACACCATGGCTCAGCTTCAATCAGGAGAGATTGCCTACAAGAGCAAACTAAGAGAAGAACCAAAATGCAACAAACATCCTGATCAGAATATTAACATTTACTGCAACACATGTGAGCAGTTGATTTGCACAACCTGCTCTGCTGTGAAACATAAACAACATTCTTGTGCAGACATATCGGAGGCTTTTGATAAATGCAAACGAGAAATTGAAGGACTGATGGCAAAGGCTAACAAAATGCAAAACGAACTGGAGAAAGCCATGAAAAACACAGCAGAGTCCCGCAAGACTCTAGACACCATGTTTGAAGCTACCAACAAGAAGATCTCCCAAAAGGCCGACAAGGAGGTTGCTAGGATCAGAGAGATGGAGCAGAAACTGAAGCAAGAGGCCCAGGAGATCTACCAAGACAGAGTCAAGACATTCAAGGCTGCTGAAGATGCCAACAATTCGCAACTGAAAGTAGCAGAGCTTGAACTGGCTGAGATGAACCAGCTCCTGGCTCAAGAAATCAAGACGGAGATTTTACATCTTAAGCAACAATTCTTGTTCGTTCTCAGAGAACTGACTAAACAACAGCCACAAATAGTGCCACAGAAGTTGCACTTCATTGACTTCCAGGACTGTTTTGAGACTGAGAAAACATTTGGAAGGCTGATTCTGGAAGGTGAATGGAGACTGGACAAGAAAATGGAACTGGATGAGAAACATACTGTTACTTCTGTTGCAGTTTTCTCAAATGACGAAATCGTCACCATAGACGCTGAACTAAGTCTTTCCAGACATACATGTAAGCAGCTTGTGACTTACCGGTATTTACCAACAAGCAACCCCCAATCCCCTTTCATCTCCCAAGTGCTACAAATTCCAGAAGTCGAGGATCCACACCAAGTTGCAGTCAACAGACTAGACCATCTCATTGTCCTAGATGGTCCTGCATTCAAGACCTTCAGCAGAGAATATCAACTCCTCCATCAGTTCCAGCCAGGAATTGATTCAGACAGCCAACCAACCTGCCTGGCAGTGGATGATGACAATCTGATAGCTGTGGGCTACAAGGCCAAGGGAGAGATCAGCCTCCACAACTCAGATGGAACCCTCATCAGGAGACTACCGGCACCAATGATTGATGATCAAATGGAAGCCAGCAATAACCGTTTAATGTACACTAACAGCATACTTTCACTATTAGTATCTCTAGATTACTATGGTAAAATAGTATTCAACGTGAACACAGACCCAAGCATATACCAGTACATGTTAAGTCCTAGGAGTGTCTGCTGCGACAATCAAGGCAACATCTACATCTAAATGTGCCATGACAACGAAACATCACCCCTGTTGACCAACCTTTTCAGCTTGGGTATCCATCAGTGTAATTCCGAGGGCAAGCACATTAGATGCATAATTAAGGAGGACATGGATGTCAGTGCAATGACATTAATATCTTCAGGAGATCTGGTGCTAGGTGGTGAGGGTTTATTGAAAGTCTATTGTCGTGTTTGAAAACTGAGCCTTTTGGTCAAATTGGAAGTACATGTAACAAAGAAAATGTACATACATGTAAGTAATTCTGTGTGGTAGGATAATTTTTTTGTGATATGAGGGAAATGCCTGTTGGAAATTCTCAACTGTTGACCCAAAGGAATTCACTTCATTTCATTGAACAGCAAGTGATGTCAACACAGATTACTGAAAAAAAATTGTCATAATAGCCCTATAACAAATAACAGATGTAAATGTACACTTGAAAATCATAGGGAAACACTTCTCATTATAAATTTCAAGCAACTGAACCTACATGTAGTCCAAGATACTGCAGAACATTCTTAATCATACTTTCTAAAAAGTTTTACTCTTTTCAGTCAAGATTCAGCGATTATCAAACATTTTCCACATCTCTCAAACTGAGAGTGTTCCAAATGCTGACAATGGACCAAATGAGAAGCAGGGTTGTTACATGTAATTAAATTAAAAAACAGGCTAACAAACAGAACTTTATGAAGTATATAATTAATCACAGAGAACTGTAGCAATGTTTGTTCTGTATGAAGAGGAAGGGTGGCTGGGGACTGAAGATTTTGCATGAAACACAAATTTTTTTACAACTGTTTAAAAAAACTCCTAAGCTCTGTATTCCAATGTAAACCACTCTCTTATTTGGCTATCACACAGTACACGTGTATGTATCTGCTGTTACATGTACATAATATGTGTACAATGTACATGGAGGTGGCCGGGCTAATGCACAAACTGGGTTAAAAGATTTACTTCCTTAATCCTTTGAACCCAAAGGAATATATAACTAGGTACATGTACCATCGAAACAAACAATGGATTGCATGTTTAGGTTGTGACCTGATATAAACATTTATTATGCTTGTGTCAAAATGTTGCAGCAGTATTGAGGAATCAAACTCAACCTGAATACTGGGTGTCGACAAGAATACAAGATTAAATCAGTGCTCTGAAATATATGATTGCTGAGATTTCGGTAACTGAGTACCTTCTTCAGGGCAAGCAGAAAAGGAAGAGTCGTGAATTCATTTTGATGGAGAAAAACAGGCAAATCAATGCCAAAATGTTTAGCAATATAAAGAACTGTTTTAGTAAAAGCTTGCATGTAGAAGATTGCTTGTATGTACGGCTAGCATGTGGATGAAGAAAATTTTATTCCTGGATTCCAATGTACATGTTTGTTTATTAATTAATACATGTTTATCTCCATGTAGATAAATAACAAGTACATGTACACGCTTCGACAAGAACATCTTTGCTCGGAAGGTTAAGGTTTGTCAATGGG